AAAAGCATACTCTGCTTTAAACTTTCCAGTAAAAAGGCAGCCCACCCTGAAATGTCTGGTGCTATGGGGGTGTGTAGTGCTTTTATGAATGCATGGCAAGGGTGAATTTTAATTAGCCTAGTCTTCCTATTTTCCTCCAAATATAGATAGGCTTAGCTTTCTCAGCTTTAGTACTTGAGAATATGCAGCCAAGTGTGCTCTGGGAACTATTTGCTAGGAGTCTGTTAGAAAAATGGGAATCCAAAAGTTATTTCTATTTTAATAAAGTCAGGATAAAGTTTTTAATGATGATAGCCTTATGGAAGTGCAACCCCACCCCCCTCCATGATACCCTTTATAAACAAAACAGAGATAAAACGAATACTTGCTTTGCAAGCTACTGCAGGGATCACAGTGGTATTTTGCGCTGGCTTGTGAAGTGCTGTGGGAGCCACCTCCTATGCTCGGGCCCACTGTGGATCTGCAAGGGATGGTCCTCTCAGGAAAGAAGCTGAGGGCACTTGGCACTGGAAAGTATCTTACCCATACTGGAGATGGTGAGAGAATTGGCAATGAGGAGGTGACTAGTCATTCTGCAAGGCCTGGTCTGGGGCCAGTTTTCATTTTCATCTTGTTCTCTTTCTGTTTTTCTTTCTCTCTCGCTTTTGTTATTTATACCAATGAGCAAATGTTGCTTATTTTTAGCAGCCTTTCCATTCTGATCCTAAGTAATGGAATGCCTGTGGCCCTCCCTCAGGCACCGTTCTACCTCTAATAAGACCAGACAAATGCAAGCTTTGGTGTAGGGAGTTATTGATTTGCTCCCATGCAAGTAGGTGTGTGTGATACATATAAAAGGTGCCCATGCATACCATGTATTAGCACTCCAACATCTTATCAAATGGCCTTGCATGATCTGCCTTGGACTCTTTGTGAGAAAATATTATGTTGTGTATCTCCATAAAGGAAGCAGCCTTGCAACTTGCTTATTTTAGAGGATATAAACCCAACCCTTAAAGCCCAAACCCAACCAAATATGCACACCCATTTCCACAAACAGAGGTAGAGCAAAGTCCTCCCTTGAGTGCAGACAGTTTCAGTTCTGGGAAGCAGGTGGATCAGGTAATAGAAGCAGAAGTAAGAGGTACATAGATAGGGCTAAATGCTGTAAGCCCCATTTTTATCCTTTTCTATTTTAGATCTTATATCACCAGTTTATTGCAGAGATGCTATAGTGATAATAGAGTCCCGAGGGAAGCAGTTAGGGGAGGGCATCCACTGAGGTGTGGATGTCTGGGGAGTCCCTGCCTCACAGATTAGCAGCTGGCAAGCCACATCTTCCACCGAGCATCCTAGCAGCTTTGTGTCTGCTTTCCAATTTCCTTAGACACTACCCCTCTTCTATACTCCTTTAGGCTGAAAAAAAAAAAAAGGTAAGGGAGGGTGTATCCAACTTGAGACAGCAAAGTTTATCCTTCCCTATCCTTACGCAATGCATATCCGAAAGAACTTCAGAACCAAGAAGGAGTAGCTACATACTTGAACTGCAAGGAGAGAGATGCAGACTTTTAGGTCTTGCCCATCTTACCCCTCAGGTATAAGGGATTTGCTGGGAGAGCAAGTGCCCTTGGTCACTGTTGCCTACTTTGCATCAGCAGTGCTTCTTTCGTAGACGTATTTGTATATGGTAGTGAGGTCCCTTCTGGCTCATGCCTATTTCAGTTCCACCTTGAAGGAAAGCAGGTGGGGAGATTGTCCCACACTGGCAGTATCACTGGTATCCCACCCAGCCTACAGGTATAGTTGCATAACTGCTTGGTCCTTTCAGTCGGGTCTTAGTTTTAACACTTTCTGTAAGTTTTTGTCTTCCTTATTTTCAGGCCTGACTCATTTTGATAGGGTTAAGAATCTACTTACATGCATGCTTACGCTAGCAGAGGAAACTAATTTTCTGCTAATGGAAGGAGAAGAGAGGCTAGGGGGACATTAGTCAGGCGCAGCCAGAGCAACCAATGGCCTTGTGCTTAACTGGCTAATGCCGTGTCTATCCACTTTTGCCACTGCTGTGAAATTATCGTTGATTGCAACTGAAATATATTGGAGATGGGGAGGAGAAGAAACCTTGTTTAGGAAGCAAAGCTATGTTGCCTTGGAGAGGGACCTAAGTACCTTTTCTACTACAGATCTTTATAATCTTTCCACATTTTCCCCTGTTCCAGATGCTGATGATTTTATCTGTACTCTGGTGATCCTCTCAGTTGAAGCGAGTCTCCTCTTTGCCAAGTCCCTGTTTTGGTACTGTCATTCAAGATACAGCTCTTACTAACTATCCTGAACCTGGTGGAAGGGGGGAAGGTGTCTATTCTGAAGCTACTCTTAAATTTAGCCCTATTTGTGTACTATGATCTGCATGCCTCTGCCCCCAAATTGCTAAAATTGCAGCACAGTTGTCCAGGGCTTACTTTTCAGTAAATGACTCTTATAGCTGGTATTCCCATTAATGACTATCTTAGTCTGAAATGCAGCAAGACATTTAACATGAGTGGGATATGATACTCACCACAAATAAATACAACACTGCATGTTTTCATATTTTCAGGTAAGCAGGCTGGTGTTAGGGAAAAAGGTTAGTCTATTAACACCTCCGCTCAAAAGCAAGCCGACTTCCTTTCTACATGGAATAATTATTTTTTCACAGAAGCTCTTAGTGCCTCTGCTATGCTTGCACTTGTAAGTCTCAAACATTGCAATACAGATAGCTCTTTATGAGTGGAATCTGAGGTCATGTGTCTGCATTTAAAATTTGAAATCACTGTGCGTGGACTACCATGCACTGGCTTGTGAATGCTGTAAGTGTAGGGGCTATGGGCCCCTATTTCAGGTGTGAAGAAAGCAGGGCCTTTTTTAGCACTTAAAGCTCATGTGTGCAACTCACAGTTATGAGCACCTTTGGCAGAGCTTTATAGATTCTGTTGATTCATAGCTGGCATCTCACCATCCGTATGGTCAGGACTACATATAAATATGTATCTGTCTATACATAACAGAACCATTTAGAGCATCCCTACAGTATAAAGATGAAGTGAACTTGTGCACAAAATTTATTATACCTTTGTGGAAGGCTTGGTGGGGAGAATACTGAAAGGCCTTTTATCTGCCACAGTCCAGGGTTCACCAGACATGTTAGGTGTCTGGCAATCCATGTGTCTGTTTATACAGTTCCAGCAAGGATTAAGGATCTTTGACCAAAGACAGCTCAGATACAGGTGATGGTGGGAGCGGTGATTGTAACCAGCATGACAAGGAAATACCAGAGATAGGAAGGCTTCTATCCTGGATCTTGAATCCTGGGACTTTCATGGATAAAAGGTTGCAGCTGGAGCTGGAGAGGTTGTAATGACACACAAATCTTTGGTTTAATCATCTTCTAAAGTTGTGCCCAGGGTTGGCTTACAGAAGATGAAAAAAGCTAATGAACCCTGAGGAGGACTGATCTGCAGCTGTCCTCAATAGCTTCCTTGAAGGAGGTCTTTTTTCATTGCATATATAACCACTGCATGTTGCTGTTTTGAGCAGCTGTGTCTTGGCTACTCTGATATGCTCATTGCTGGAACTATATCTTAAAACTCTAGCCAGCACCTGAAAAAATATTATTTAAGGTGGCATTAACATCTAGGTTCCAGCCACAATTCTGAGCTGAGCACACTACAGTTGAAATAGGAGAGCCTGTCCGTGCCTTAGAAAGCTTATTTTTCTATCTGCAGACATTTAACTTTGAAAGAGGAAATGGGTGAAGGCGATCTAGCTTGTTTCATCCAATGTGAGCTGGCTAGACGAGTCAGGGAGATTCTTAACAGGTGTGAGATTGCAGTAAGATTGGAGCAACCTGGCAGAACTGCAAAAAATCTGATTAAAAACCCCAAACTTTTGTCAATCCACACTCAGAAGCAGTGGAGAAGGACCTCAGGAATGGAGCATAAGACTGAATTTCTACTTCTCTTGCTGCCCTTGCCACAAATTCATGCGTGCTTATATATGCTGTATCCCTATATTTCATTGCTCTGCTAGACCCAGAATTTCTGTGTTGTGCTGCTGTATGACAGGAACTGTTAGTCTTGTACCAATAGCTCAATTTACAAAGGACATGCACAAGTGATCTAGAGTGACTGTAACCATGCTGGTGGAAAAATTTGAATTCAGAAATTGAAAGGGCACGTTCACAAAGAAAAAAGTTGCATTACCAACATTTGTTAACCAAAATACCATAACTGGCTTGAGGTAAGAGTTTAAGTCTGTCCTTTGTGCTAACAGGCCTATGTAGAAAAACTGAGAGAGTCCTGGGGTGAAAACTGCAAGCTGTTTGAACACAAAGTTCAATATTATGGCTATGTTTTTAAATTACTTCAAGTAAGGAGCCTTTTTGTCCTAGCAAGTATAAAGTATTAAATGAAATGTTTTGCAAATATTAAATATATGCTTGTGTTAATGTTATTGGCTAGTTAGTATTTTGAATAAAGTTGATAATTGTGAAAGCTTTGAAAATTAACTCTTTGCAACTTATCATTTATGTATAATTGAAGGCAGTGAAGGAAATCTGAAACATTCAGTAATTTCAGCAGTACAACTGAGGAGGTTATCTTCTGTAACTCTCTAATATTTCTGATGCAAGATCAGAAAAAAGGAATTTATCTTAAGCAATTGCTTTTGGAAAAACACCCTTGCTGGTAATTTCTTTTTTATTCACAGAATACATAAAAGAAGGGAGAAATTTGTGAAGAAAAAAAATTAATATTGCAACACACCGCTTAAAGGCGTTAATATGACACTAATGAACCATAGCCTTTCCAACTCGTAGCTGGCAACATTATCACCCATCTGTGCCGAGTGGGATGTGCAAGCAGAAGTCAGGGCTGAAAACCCTCCACCTGTTTTCAGAAAGTAAGTGAGCACACAGTGAAGTTACTCAGCGTATTCGTTCCGTCTTCAGCAGTCCCGGTGATGTTGTTACTGCTGCTTTTCTGCTGTCTCATATCTCCCACCGCCATGTGCCAGCTGATAGGGGAGCTGTGACATACCACACCCCCGCGGCCGGGAAGGGGGTCACATGGAACTGGTCTCATCCAGAGCACTTTAAAGAAACTGATAAGCTCTATCTCATTTAACTTGGCCTTTGGAAGACGCTTGTGGAAATTTCTGCAAAGGAGGTGACATCAGTTGTTGTCACAGCTGCTGTGTAAGTCTGCAAGGCTGTGTCTGTTCAGTATCTGCCTGGGGTGTGTATGTGTGTGAAAATAGATATTGTTAATAGATTGCATTTAAATCAAAAACAGTTCATATGAAGCTGGCAAGGAGGTTTCATCGCTCAGAATAGGTGCATTATCGTTGAGACTTGGGGCAATGATGGAGTAAGTAAATTTAATAAAGCACAAAGACGTCCAGCTTTGGAGGGCCAGTGTTACATTTGAAACAAACCTTCTCCCCGGGGAATTCCAAGTGTTAGCATGTGGGACATACTCCAGCTGCTAGCTGCTCAGACTTAAAATAAACCAGGCAAAATCCCATATTCAGGCTCTACCAACTGAGGCAAACTACTATTGCAAACATTTCATCTTCCTTTTTCTTCCAGTTGTGTCAAAATGACAACGAATATTTTTGAAAGGGCATTTAAACCTTAGTATTTCACAGAGCTTTCCTTGTGCTTCTCTGTAGTGACGTGATTCTCAACACAGTTATAAATTTAGCAAAGAATCTGATTTGTACAGATTGGAACACTGTTCCAGGAAGGTTGGAATTACAAAAAGGGTTAGAAGGAGTATTTCTAGCTTGTGTGACAGTGACACTGCTACCAATACTACTGCTTTCCTAATCCTAGATACTTTAAAAATCTCAGCATGACTTCTTTTACAGAAGACTATTTGCCTTGTTGAACTGTGGAGACCCTTTTTCTTAAAGAGAAACACGTGTGACTTAAGGGTGATTTGCTTTTTTCTTCTTTCTTAACATATTGAAGAGGAAATAATTTAATGTAGAAGACACCAGAGCAGGATTTCTGGGAAAAGAAGATGTCTGGGAGATGTACGATTGTTTGACAACTAGGATATGAATAACTCTGAGGAGATCTGAAAATAGACTACAGTACTGTTTGCTTTGTCTTGTGGTTTAAAATTTGCTTCAGTTTTTTTTTTATTTTTTAGATTTTAATAACCCTCTGACTATAATTTATTTCTAAGGTACTGAGATGCTTGGGAGGGGTGGGAAACAATGACTTTAATGCAATCTATGCAAATAATATCTAATTTTTTTCAACATTATTCTATGTGAGACTTCATTCATCCAGACTACTCAGTTTTTCTGTGATAAAACCTGTTGAGCAACGTAATTCACAATTTAGGAATTCAGGGCTGTTATTACTGTCAAAGCGCAGATATTATGCGCTTGAAAAGTGTACAAGTGAGTGACATGACTAACCTTCCTGTTTCTTCTCTTCTTCCTTTAGACACAGACACACAAATTCTTGTTCAAACCAACAAGCTTATCCAGGATATATTTATAAGGGTGAACTCTGACAAGCTTTGGTTAATCATATACAGTGCTTGGGATATCTTGTGAAGGTATCCTGAACACTGTGACAGAAGTATTTGTCACTCAAACTATTTATAATTCCAGGAGTTTGGAGGGCAGATAGATGCTTATGCTTTTTCATATGAAATGACAGCTCTTCCTTTATACAAAAGGAGTTGGGTATGCCTGTATGGATACATCAGGTAGATCTGGACCATACTGTTTTTGTGAAATGCCATGTTTACACCCTGGACACACTTCCGGTCACTTGATTAACCTTTCTGTCTCACAGATGACTTTGTAGCTCTGTGAATGTCAGCTTGTTGTCTGCTGGACCTCTTGTTTCTGTGGATGGTTGGAAGAGGTCGGTGCAGGATAACTCAAGAAACATGAAACTGTTGACCGTATAGTACCTCCATTAGGAAATCTTTAAGGGCTCTCAAACTGAATAAAACTATGAGCTCTACTGTTAACCTCTTTTTTTTTTTTTTTTTTTTTTTGTTTTGTGATGTGCAAAACTATACTAAGGCCAGTCAGCCTTTGAGAAGTAACACTGATAAGCATCACAGGTTTTTTTCTTTATTTTCCTAACCACCTCAAGTGGTTAGTTTTGAAGACTTCTTGGCAAAGTTTACATGCAGGTTATCTTTCTCTGCTATTCCTTCTTATGTCTCTTGAATTATTCTTAACTCTGTGTTTCTGGGAAACGAAGGCAATGTATAGACACAGTGCCTGCAGCAGGCATTCAAGGAATGTTATGAGGGTAGCAAGCTTCCCATTTCCCTGGTCACTCAGAAGATTTATGTGCCAGTATAATGAGAATGAATGATGAGCTGTTGTTCACTGACAGGGAACTTATGGGTCTGTCTATGCACAAGAGGTTTTGAAAGCTGATAACCTTTGTGCTGCAGGTTTTGTTTTGAATAGATGGGAGAGGAGAAAATAGTTATTGGTAGATGTAAAACTGGACAAACAAACTGAAGGGTATTAGCCGAGCTCTGGCAGTAAAGCTGAAAATCAGAGCTATTTATACAGTTGGAAACAGAGTTGGGATATTTTCATTATTTTGGGACACAGCATGGACTTTTATAGAGTTACAGGATGCTCCTGCCTAGAATTTCAGTGTATTCTATTTTTTAGGTCTCTATGAGACGATGTGATGTATTGAAGCTTTGGTCTGAGCATTGGCCAAGTATAAACAAAGGGGCTGATTTTGAACTCTGAAATTGAGAAGTCTGTAGGTCGCTCTAAAGTTGCCCAGACACAAAGCTTGTTAAAGTTTTTTTTTTTTGCCATTCAAGAGCAAGATAAAATGTCCATAGACAGAACCACTATTGCTACTATATAAGTTATTCACTTCAACACCTTTCTCATATCATATCAAGTTAATGACCATTTTGTGTGTCTGGTATACATCCAGAACCCCTGTTGTAAAGTCAAGGTTGTGTGAGATATCCCAGTTTGCATTAGTAAATGCTATAGGACACTATATTATTTTGACAAGTATCATAAAGCTACATAAACAGAAACCATACTTTAAAGATTTTTTTTTTCTAAAGGATACAAAGTAAAGATTAAATACCGAACTATGATTTTCAGATATATTACATAACCACCACCACCACCCCTTTTTTGTCATAATCATAAATTCTTGGGCACCTGAAAGATAAGAGCCTGAAGTTTTTTGCTTTTATATACCTAAAATGTAGCAAGCTTTAGAAAAAACCTAAGTATTATGTCTACTGGAACCACATTAATTCCAGAAGAAACCTCTGTCTTCTCTGGTATTTATGATTTCCTAATATCCACTCCTTAAAAGTTTTGGTATTCTCAAATGTTCCAGCAGCCCCATGTTATAAGCTTTTGAGGCTGATTTAAAATTTCACCACGCATTTTTACAGTTTGATAAGGAACTCAACCCAGGACTTAAGGGCTTAGGTCCTATTCAGAAGTTGCCCATGTGCAATAACTTTTTCTGAAACATATGGGAAAGAACTGGGTGCTCTTACACACATGCCTGGAAGATAATTGGAAATCACTGTGTTCCATTTTTCAAAAATCAGATCCATAAAACCCCCTCCTGGAATGACACAAAGCACACACATTTTTTCTTTGAAAGGCATTAACTTGGCGTTTTTATGTATACCTACAATATGGTGGTTGGAAAGGCATTTGGAAGCGTTCCCTCAATAACAGTCTCATCAACATTCTCGTAGCTGTGTTGGCTACACATTGGATACAGACTGTTATTTACCCCTGTGCCGTTGTATAGCAACCCGTGAAAGTTAGAGACAGAACTGTGTAGGTGCTTAGTGATGGCAGCCAGGCCAGAGAGTGGCAGCCCTGTGGAGATTCTTGTGTCTGCTGTGCACAGTCATGGACAGTGACACTTGGCCGGGGGGTCTGGTGGGGAGAGGAGGCAAGAGGTCCAGCCAGAACAGCCCTGTTCTAATGCACAGTGCAACTGGGGGAGAAGGAAAGAGGACAAAACTGCTCTCTCGGGTGCTCCATCTTTCTTAGGTGTGTGCCTGTGCCTAAATTATTTCATTCAGCCCTGAACTTGTAATGGAAAATCTTGCATGATTACAGCTTAATATACCATAGTCTGTATTTATGACTGAGTTGGCTCGAGTTAACAGTACCTTTAGAGATACACTGCTTGCAAAACATGCACCCCTAGCCAAAATATGCCTTTTATCAAGATGGGTTAGGAGTATCCAGTGTTTCCCTACAGGCATGCTGCTACCTGTAGGTGAATTTAATAACACTAGATCATTGTAGTGTGGTTTTTACTGGCTTTTTTTCTTCTTTCTTTTGAATGTATTTACTTAATTTTCCTACTGTCAAGAGAAAAACACAACTACGAATGCAAAAGCAGGGTCAGATGGTGAGACTGGGTTGAAAGAAGGTATTTAGATTCTTAGGATGGTGCTCAAAAGAGCTGTGGGCTCAGCTATGCTACACAGCCAAGTACACTATAGAGATCCCTGAGCTAATGCCGCGATCGGAAGCTCTGTTAGTGTTGTTCTGTTCTCCCTGGGCTAATTAACAAAGGTGCCTCTCAGCATACCTAATTAGCTCCGTTCCTGCAGCATCCTCGGGGGCAGGGCTAATTAGCGTGGGTGCTTTGCTATAGAGAGACGGGCTATATTGCCTCTGGGATCTCAGCTACCATCCGTGCACGGCATTGCAATGTACCGTGCAGACAAGCCAGTTTCCTCAAAGCTACCTCAGGATCTCTAACAGCCCTTTGCTGTGTAGACTTGCCCGGTGCATTAATGAGACCCTGAAAGCTTATGCAGGGAGAAGGATAGCAGCTTGGGATGTGGGCTAGAGGGTAACATTTTGGGAGACAGATGTTGCAGGATGAGTCCCAGATTCACTTGCGTTTACTTTACCTCTGCATCTACTTCTTACCTTTGGATTAAAAGTGTTGTTAAAAGTCTTTGCCAGCTATGATGAAAGGCAAAAAATAGGCCTATATCGAGGCACGTGAAATCTGAACCTGCTGCCTTGCAGCTTGCTGGTTTTTTGCTTTTAGGTTCTCAGCTAAACTTGTAGCTACTAAAAGATAGTTATGAACTAATGAACTGAAGCATTTTTAAAGCATATTTCCCTATTGCTGTGGTCAAGTAATAATGATAACAAAGTATTCTTTATGGTTTAATAGAC